AGAACGATATCCTTATTAAAAAAAAAAGACAGTCCCGATTAGAATGGCAAACAGAGTGAAAGAGCGACAGAGCGTGTGTATGTGTGCGCGCGCGCGCGCGCATGTGTGTGTACGTATGAAAATCATCGGTCTGTAAATCGAGCGAACGCTTTTGTATGTATATACATATATATATTTGTATTGTATACGATATATATATATTGTATACGCACATTGTACCGTATCCGAGCGACATTATTATCTGTACCGTAGTCAGCGGAACGTTAGAGCTAGAGAATTTTTTCTTGTATAATGGACGAATAAACGCAAAGTATCGTTCGGTATATCCCTCGCCAGATAGTTTTATTTCCATGTGTCCTACACGGCGGGTTCCTAAAAAAATTCGAACACGCGGTGTCATTGCAAATGTTTCTGATGAATCTAAGTGAAGAGAATTATACAAGTTCTCATGCATACATTTACGTTAGTCGATGTAAAGGATTAAGTCACGCTGAAAAGAAGAGATTAACTTCAATTTTTCTACATGTTTTATTCACCGAACCACTTAGATTTAACCAGAGTCCGGCGGAATTACATAGGATACGCGACTACACCGCACAGTGGATTCGCTATGTACACTGAAAATAAATATAAAATCTTACAGGTTTATAGAATCCGCACTCTCTTTCTTCCGTTGGTTCGGCGCGTAATAAACTTTGGAAAATTCGATTTGTCTAGTCACTACCTGTATGTTCAATTAGCAGCGGCAGCGCTTTGTTTGCGCTGTCTAATGCGCGCTTCTATTTCTGGTCGGAAATGCCTGATCAGACCCTGCACAGGCCACGCGGCGCCGTCTGCTAAAGCACAGATAGTGTGCAGTTCAATTTGTTTGGTTAACTCCCACAACATGTCGATCTCGTGCTCCTCGGCTTTCCCCTCCACGAATCTGAAGAAGTTTGTCTTTACTGGTATCTCTCTAAAGTTTACAATGAACACTGACGTTCAAATATACGATCAGGTTATACCTTTGCAAGATTTTGTGCATCCAGCTGACGCCTTCGCGGCACGGTGTACACTGCCCGCAGGATTCGTGCTTGTAAAAACTGAGTAGACGCGTGATACCTTTGATGATGTCCGTCTGTTTGTTCATCACGATCACAGCTGCTGTACCGAACGAGCTCTGAACTCTCACGAGATCGTCAAAGTCCAATAATACTGTGTCGCAAACGCTGGAATGTTATTTAAGTAGTTGAAGGTTTCTAGTCATTTCTCAATAATGAGTACCTTTGAAAATAAGTACCTTTTCGGAATGACAGGAGTGGATGATCCACCAGGGATCACACCAAGCAAGTTGTCCCATCCACCGATTACCCCACCAGCGTGCCTTTCGAGAAGTTCTTTCAAAGGAATGGACATTTCTTCTTCTACCGTGCATGGTTTGTTTACGTGGCCCGAAATGTTGAACAATTTCGTACCGTGGTTACGTACACGACCGAATGACGCGAACCAAGCTCCACCTCGCCGGCAAATAGTCTATACAGAAGAATTTTAATTATAGAAACAACAGCATTTGTATGTTGATTATACCTGAATAATGCTAAATACGTACAGGAGCCACAGCAACTGTTTCAACATTAGTAACAGTTGTAGGACATCCGAACAAGCCAACATCAGCTGGGAAAGGTGGCTTTAATCTAGGCTTTCCCTGTTTTCCCTCGATAGACTCTATTAGAGCTGTCTCTTCCCCGCAAATATATGCTCCAGCTCCACGTTGGACAAAGATGTCGAAATCATAACCAGACCCACAGGCATTCTTGCCAATGAGACCAGCTTGATAAGCTTCTGCAATGGCCACTTGCATGTTAGATGCCTCATTGTAAAATTCACCACGAATGTAGATATATGCAGCACAAGCTCCCATTGCACGACCAGCAATGAGGCAACCTTCGACAAGCTTATGGGGATCATGACGTAAAATTTCACGATCCTTGCAGGTACCGGGTTCTCCTTCATCTCCATTAACTACTAGATACTTTGGTCTTCCGTCTGATGGCTTATTCATGAAAGACCACTTCATGCCAGATGGGAAACCAGCACCTCCTCTGCCTCTCAACCCAGAAACCTTTATCTCATTGATGATCCAATCTGCACCCTTGTCTATAATTTCTTTGGTTTTGTACCAATCCCCTCTCTTTAGAGCACCCTTTAATCTCCAGTCATGTCTGCCGTACAAGTTGGTGAAGATACGGTCCTGGTCAGCCAGTGGGCCACCTTTTTTCTACAAATGGAAGCAAGACTATGGTACATCCAAATCTATGTCAAGAGATTGTATAATGACAGAATCACATGTGGAAATGAAAGAAACCATACCTTCCCTTCTGGCGCGGCATCGGCTAACGTTCTCTGCTGCTGGTTGGCTAAAGCAGGTCCAAGGAGACCTTAAACATCAGCGAATCCCTTTAATTACATAACCTTGCATCAACGTTCGTATAAAATGTTGAAAACCCCGTTAAGCGTTAAGAAGTAATGAAAATTTAATGTGTAATAAGTTGTCAATTGTTTCATGTGGTTGAAACACTTTTTATATTCTAAAAACAAAGCACTAACGTCAAAACTTACCCAATTGTCTCCTCGGAACCTGAAAACAACGCACTATGGCACCAGCCATCTTGCCGTCAGCGAACGACTACTTACAGTTCGTTGCAAATCTCTAGTATTTCATTTTTAATAAATTTCCTACGTCAATGCGTTATATAGTTTTAAAGGTTTTTATACCAATTGTGCGCAATAACTATTATTAATTACAACAATATAAGTTAATAAATCCTACTTTATATGACTAAAAACATATAACTGATGAAGGGTGTGGCGCCATCGATGGTAAAGTGCTCAAGTCTTTTGTCTAGTTTTTCACCAATGTTGTTAGATGGAGTTAGTATAATGTGTTCAGCTCCACCATCTCTTTAAATTCTTAAATATTGGTTAATAAATACAACAATTTAATAATAAATTCAATATAATTGAATCAAAATAGATTCAATAATCAATGTGGAATGATGACATGGAATTAACTCGTCGTAAAGATCTCTTTAACACAGAACACAACGATACTGTCATCTCGTGGTGGAAATCTAAAACAGACTTCGAGATTGAATACGTGTTCATCGCTGTTTTGTCATTTATTTCACCAGAGGATCGTGTCGACTTCCGTTGGTTGTGCCTGTCGCACCTTGAACGTTGTGCGATGGTTGGTGAAAACAGATTTCTCGTTACGTGATGGGGAAACTCAACAGCAACCCGCTTTTCTAGCTGGTCATGGTACTTGGCTATCAATAGATATTTATCTGAAGAGCAGTGGCCAGAAAGCGGGAACGTTCGTAGGTCGAGAAAAGCTCATCTGACATCATGCCATCCAGGAGGAAAAACTGTGGTCTCCTGGCAAGGGTGAACTTTCCTCTGTACACCCTGCAGATGTTAACGAACAGGCACATCCTTGTAGGTGGTGGTGGAGGTTCCTCGAAGACAGGTGTGGCTAATGGATTTGTGAGTATTGTTTTGGAGTTATTGATACTGAAAGAACAATCAAATTAACGAGTCACTACTAATGTGTCAAATCATGTTGTTGCAGGAGATATTCGAGCTGTCGCATAATGGGTCACAGTTTGTGGCAGAAGAAGTTACTAGGCACGAGACCGGTCCCAGTGTTGTAATGAACTGCACTGCTTACACTGATGGCAAAAGAACATGGATCACTGCTGGCCAAGAGAGCCATTGTCAATTGTATAATGTTAATACTAAAGTGGTCACTGTAGAGAATGGGGAAATCATTAAAGAAACTAGTGATAATACGAGGGAAGGTCTCAAGCATAGGAAAAGTGCAGAGAAAGTAGAGGAAAGCAATACTACAAGAGATAGAATAGAAGAGATCAAGAATGAAAATTCTAATGTTAAACACAAGAAGCTACAGTTGATTGTGAAGCCTGCTGACAGTGTACAGACAGATTTTAGGTAGTTATTACCCTTATAATACAAATGTTATTCTTTGCATTCTAAAGTATACAAATATATAACTTTTATATTTCCCCTCTTAATAACAGTGAAGAGGAGCCTCTTCAAAGAATTGTCAGAATAAGCTTAAATGGAAAATTCATGGCTACTGGTGGAACAGATGGTCATGTCAGGCTATGGAAATTTCCACAGTTACATAAATTGCATGATCTAGATGCACATACTAAAGAAATTGATGATATAGATTTCAGTCCAGATGGCACGCTAGTTGCAAGCATTGCAAAAGATGGCAAAGCTTTCATATGGAACGTGTCCAGTGGGAATAAGGAAAAAGAACTGACATGGTCACCTCCTAATGCATTGAAATATATGTATAAAAGATGTCGGTTTCGGAAATTGGAGGAGGTCAAATCAAAAACACAATTGTTCATGCTTTCCAATGCAGTGGTTGGGAAGAATCTGAGTTTCCTACAGATGTGGGACATTGATACAGGGGCTATAGTGAAAATGGCTCCCTACAAGGAAACTTTATCAGCCTTGGCAGTATCAGACGATGGAAAGTTCTTGGCAGTTGGAACAATGTTCTCTGGAACCGTTGACATTTATGTTGCCTTCAGTTTGAGGAGAGCTTTGCACGTACCTGGTGCACACAGCATGTTTGTAACTGGTTTAGAGTTCTTGCCAACTAAACTGGACGGCCCAGCAATTACCAGTAACACAGAGACTGCTGTTGTTAGTATATCCGTGGACAACAAAATCTGCATACATAGTATACCTTTTAGACGTGAGTAATTAATATGCTTTAAATTAGAGATTAAGAAAGATGGAGGAATATAGTATTAGCAACATATATATTTTCTTTTTAGACACACTGCCATTCTGGTTCGTCATTATAGTGATCATCCTAAGTATCTGTGGTGCATTCATTTTTTGCAGTTACCTCGGGATATGACCCAAAACGTATATTTTTGACACAATCAGGAGAAGCAATACTTTCTCTAGGGTTACCTAAGATCAGATCGAACATCGAAGTTTCTCACATGCCTTTCCTAGGTCGTAAAAATTACTTATAGGGGAAAAGACGGAGTAGTTCGTTCATATGGAAACGCGCGTGCACGCATCTGCACATAATTATTTACAATTTCCCAGCTAGGAGGCAGCAAGCATCGTTCTCTCGGACCTCCCGTTATTTAAACAACGTTGAACCTAATTCTGCTGTGATAAACAGTTACATTGCATCGTTCGGCAAGCATTATTGTAAATAGAATATTTTTATTAATTTTTTCAATTCCCTAGACCCCGATGTCTGGAGCTCAATGTTTTCCGTGTATTAGAGACTATTTTTTGACAAACACCGAGACCAATTTGTACGAGTTTCTTCGTGTATAATATGTTTGAGAATTTGTCTTGCTATTGCAATCGCATTTATTTAATTCTACTCTGTATGATATTTCCGTGTACAGAATTTAGCCAACTATACGTTACACTTTATGTACATTATTTAACGTTAAACGTTT